ACCGCCGATGCCTTCTCGGCGCCAAAGGCGGGGGTCGCGGGGCCGGCCGGAACGACGAGAACGGACCTTCCAGTGCGGCCCCGGGCCCTTGGGCCCCCGCGGCGGCCGCTGCGGCCGGGACTGCCCCTCTGCACCGCTCAGTAGAGACGGGGACGCAGACTGAGGAAGAACCCCAAGCCCCAGTTTGGAGCGGGGGCCACCGGAGTCTGCCCCCTGGCTCCTGGGTGACGTATGCGGGGGGGATCCGCCTGCGACTGGGGGTACGAGCCACTCTGCAGGAGGAGCGGGCCACCAGAGACACAGACACCAGTTTGGACCCACCCCTCTGTGAGCTTCACCACAACCAATGGCGGTCGGAGGTCCAGCGGGAGCCCCCTCCACCGCCCAGGGGAGTCCGTTCCCTCGGGGCAACGACGAAATGCCGGGGGGCACCACGGCGACCGGAGTCTCCTCCACACTGGACCCCTGGACCCCCCCCCCATGGTAGCGGAGAAGACCCTCGGAACCCACAATACTTGTACTTGTTGCTTGTTATTCCACTGCCTTGTAAGCTGCGCAAGGGCGACCGGGATGGCCTCGGGCTGGCCCGCCGGGTTGCGCCGCCTCGTTCGGGGACGAAAAAGAGTCCTCGGAGAGGGCGGTGTAGCGCCGGCGGGTCCGGCCGGTGGGGGCACCAGCTCGGACCCATATGAAGTTGGCTGGCTGCCCCCGCTGGTATGCGAACGGCCCGCGGTTTTCCCGCCTCGCGCATGCGCAGTCCCTGCCGAGGGGCGCCATGTTTAGAGCTTGTCTGAAAAACACATTGTTGTTGACGCTACAGTAATAAAACAGAGATTTCTCGACCAGAACAGCGATCTGTGGATGTGTGTGTGTCTATACTATCGGCGGATCCTAACCCGTAGGACACGCTACAATATCATCCCAGAATATAAAAACCCATGTTAGTGTAATAATTTATCTGTTGCTTTTCTTTTTGTTTTTCTTTTAAAATATTACAGTTTGCTTTGTTGTAGTCGTTTTCTTCCTTTGCAGGGTGTGGTCGTCATCATCCTGTTTTATGCTCGTCATGTGGAGGTTCGCCCGGCCCTAGCTCCGTGCATGAGACGCATCTTCCCATGATGCACCCCGGCAAGTCAACAGATGCTGAAATGGTTTCTACTACGGCGCATACTCGGCAGTCATCAGGGCCAACTGCCGATTTGTATATGTCCATTACAACACCACAATACGAATTGCGCATGAGGCAGATTTGGGCATGCCCCTCAGAAAAAGGAAAAAAAAAACAAAGAAAAAGATAAAAGCCTAATTTGTTTGCACAATTTGTTTTTCTTGTGTGGCCTTAAAAAAGGAACACGGCATAGCGTGTTAGTTGATATTGTGTGTAGGCCTACAATTTTTTCACAAAAGCAAAATTGATAAAATTTAGTCAGTAGTTTCAAATGATCTTTTTGCAGTAGTTATATTTTGCAAAGAGGTCTTCGGGGGATAGGTTTCGCAATGAAATAAAGCTCTTGAATACATGATAAGGTTTGATGTGGAATTTGGTGAGTGGTCAGTACCATTTTCTTGAATTCATAGTGTGACATAATACATTTGCGCCGAGATGACATTGTTTCATTAAATATTACCATCTTTATATCACGTCGGAGCAATTTAACCTCCAGAATTTCCTTTCGTTTTGATTATGTGGACCAGGTCTCCTATGCTTTCTGAGGTCTACTGCAGAATGCAGAGTTGTTGATTATTTTGATTTAATCCCACATTCTTGCAGGAAATCAAAAACAAGGTGTTCTGTTAGCAAAGTGTCAACTTAGCATGCTTTATGTACTCGAATCGTTCCTACATTTTGGCCAAATTAACGGTTCAAGCTATGGCGAGTCTGGTTTAAAAATTAAACAATTTACAATATTAATATAATAAGCTACGCAATTTTCTCGCCTTTTTATGGTTTCCTTCTACGGATAGATGTCCGACACGTCACAGTTTCCACGATGGGACAATTTTCTCGTGACTTGTAGTGAACCCCTTCTTTCAGCAGAACCAATTTTGTGTTCCGTCTTGTCGGAAAATTGTGGGGGGGGTTGTCAATTTGGCAGAACTGGCCATGCTCACGTTGAAAGAGAACACTAAATAATATTTTTTTTAAAATTCCAGTAGCTTCACTTTAGAAAAAATTAAAGTTCGTTTCCATTCTGACTGAAAATAAATTTACTGGGATTTTGATAAAACCAGATTGAAAAGTCTGAGGTTGGGGCTTTCAACTTCTTGCCAAAGGGTGTCAAATCAGACAAGCTAGGTCATCAGGTGATACTCAGACTAGGCTTCCAATTTGCTACATTTGAGCCGTTTGGCATATCAGGTTTTGTAAAAGACTTCCTTTCCAATTTGAGCAAACTACAAGAGTGGATTGCGGGCTTTGGAAACCCAGAACTTCGGGTGCTGCAAACCTTTAATATCCTTTATCAAATGGGATCAGTGGAAAGGCCCGTAAAATGAAGTGACCGTACTGAAAAAGGGTCTGTCATATTGAAACAAATTTTCCATCGACAAACAGAAAATCCCGCAATAATTCAAAGTAGTTAATAGACTATGATAGAAGTACATAAGATAAAACTGACTCGAGGTAAACTGTACGGGTTCAGCTGAAGTTGGTGTCTCTGGAACAAACTAAGGAACTTGAAACTTCACCATTAACAACCACCGCCCTCTGAAATTAGCATCAGTTTCAAGGTTAATACAGCTAATTTAAAAGATTAATTTTAAAGAAGTGTGGAACGAAACAGTTGTGTAATAATACATTACTCAACGATGGCATGCACGTGCAAAGTAAACAATTGGACAAAACCAAAAGTGAGTTATGCTACTTAAAGCATTCATCAAATTTAAATGAAGTCTTCAGTTTTGAAGGATAACGACGTAAGCTTTATTTGATTTGAATATCAGAAACAAATTCTGACAATTATTCAAGGAGGAAATAACCATTACCTTTGAGTTGCCTTTTTGAGGTGGTTCACCTGTGATGAGATCGTTAGATAATTTTGCTTGATTATAAATACATCTTTTGAAGTCTTTCAAAAGGTGATCTAACAATGACTGTTCTAAACAAAGCTATCGTCACCATCCATCTGCATTTGTTCAACTATTAATTCTTTTATTACCAATCTCGGGGGTCCACGAGTCATTGATTAGTAGGGCCTATATATAAAATCTCTCATATTTTCATACAATATTGCATGGTGATATTATAGCTCTATCAAAATATGAAATTCAAACTCATCCTGATGAAAATATTTATTTTGCAATTAATAATAGCACTAAAGTCAAACGACAATTGAGATCCGTTTTAGAGCCAAAAAATCATGAATCAATCTCTCCAAATGAAGTCAAAATAGGCCTACCTCCAAGTACATAATTAATATCGAAATTTGCATGCAAAACTGTATTTCCAAATCATCAAATTAAGAAATTAACGCAAATTAAGACGGCCAGTCTGCACGCATCTAAGCCTGAAAATGTTTCGACATGGAACCGACGATAATTCATCTCCATCCCAGCTTCTGTCAGCTGCAAAATTGGCTTCATTTTCTTGTATCTAATTAAGTACTGTTTTTATAGCACTGTCTTTACAATCGTAACAGAAAATTACAGCCTCAAATTTAACTCCAGCTGCTTTTTGGATTTGTATAAAAGGTTGTTTGTATTCAAATAAATGAAGTGAATCAAGGACAAAATTATTCCAAAATACAAAACTATTACACACATTTACATCCAAACAAATTATCTATAAATGGAGCATTCACATATTGCCATAAATATATATCCTGGATCAGTTTTATAATCTAGAAAGCTTGAGTCATATTGCAGAACAGACGGTTAAACCAATCAGTTGATGCATGTATACAACAAAACAACTGTCCTGAGAATACGCCAAAATTTAGAAAACTAAAAAAATTAACAATGAACAATTGTTCATTCAAGCATCATTTGTCTCAACTGCTGCAATCACTTGTTAAGTAATAAACCAAATCCCGCCTGGCCCCCCTAAAAAATCAATTCCATTCTGAATGAGAAGAAAACCATATCATACAGTTAATTCAAAGTCTCCTTAAGATAAAATCCTGTTTACCATGGATAGCATGGCTGGGGGCATTCACGAAGGAAGGTCTCCAAGTAGCCCATGTTGACTTGCATCAAGGCAGAGTAGGTTGTTAACTGGTGAAGAATGAATAACAAATGTTGTTTAATCTCACAGTTAATGGACAAGGGACAGAAGGTTACTTTGTGATAAGTACACGTACTTTCAACTAAAATGACTCAAATATCGACAATTGGAGGCAACAACCCTGTGCCAGTTTTATTGTAAATGGGCCACATCACTTGACACCTAAAACAATTCTGATAAAAGAAATCCAACTTCAGGCCCTTCCCAAACCAGCGAGGTGCACCATACTGAGCCACTCTGGCTCAAAGCTCTGACAGCTTAACAAGCCAGAACGATCCATAACAATCCAAGTGACAAGGATTCTCCACAAAAGGTAAATGAAGGGAGAAAACGGGTACAAAAAGACAAATGAGATAAGAGTTCTTGCCAAAAAAGTGTGGATATGTAGGCCTATGTACTACCTAGAGTCAAAGAT